TTGTTTTTAAGAATTACTTATTTAATGTAATTATTATTAATTTCAGCAGAGAGAGACTTAGAAAGGAAAAGTGAGAAAGCAAGCTACCACGGTCAGCCACGTGGGAGTCTAGTGCCTTAACCACCACGCCACCTGCTGTCCCGTCCCTACAGCCTTTTATGGCTGGAACCTCCTGAAACTCTGCTAACCTCCTCATCACTTCCTTCTCTCATTTCTTTCTAAGTTTGCTACAAGGTGCATAGGCTCATCAGAGAGAGATGAAAAGTGAGGAGTTATCTCCTGGGGGGTAGCCGCCTTATTCCCCTCTCCCTTCTCCTCTTGGGGCTTTGGGATGCATGGGCATGCACCCAGCGTGTGTTTCAAGTGACTGGGTCTGGGACTCAAACCGTGGAGTCAGACATGTTGGATCCAGCCATCTTAGTCTCCATGCCACCTCCTGGCCCTCTCTCACTTCTTATCCCCTTGTAACTCAATATTTAATGAGCAGAGTTTTTTTGTCTGTTTGTTATATGTGTGTGTGTGTGTGTGTATGTATGTATATATATATATATAATTTTGGGGGGACTACAGGGTGCGTGCACTCGCTGGAAAGAGAAAGAGACAGACAAGGTAGGTAAATCATTCCCTGGCAGGGTGGCCACATCGCAGTCCCATCTCCTCCATTCTCCTCTTGAGCCTTCGGGTACACACACACACGCCTGGTGTGTTTTACAGATGACTGGGTCTGGGATTTGAGCTGCAGAATTGGCCATGTGGGATCCAGAGCCTTAACCACCATGCCACCTGCTGCCCTGAGCAGAGATTTTTACACCCACTTTCAGAAGTGGAAGCAAAGGCTCAAGTGGGGTAAACAGACTTGTCAAGGTCATTGGCAAGTTGCTGATGGAGTGGGTTCTAGTGTCTGGGTGTACTGAGAAAACTGTGACGCTGTGAGACGCTGTCCTGGGGCTGTTTGACCCAGGCTCCAGGAGGCGTCTGTATTGTAGGGCCAGAAACCTGGCCTGTGTCCCACCAGCAGAGGTACAGAGAGTTCTGACTGGCTCCAGGAGGCCCTAAGGCCAGGTGTTCCCTGAGGGCTCCCTTTTCTGCTTTCTCTGCTATGGTAAGCAGGCAGGCCTGAGGCTCTCTGCTGGGTTCCCCATGCTTACCCCTTGCCCTGAGGTATCTCAGCGGCAGACTGGGTCCACTGCAGAGGCCAGTACTTCCTTGGGACACGGTGTCCTGAGGGAGAGGATGGCTCACAGGTACAGAAACGGGTGGCCTGGAAACGAACTGCTCCCTGGAGCATGGACCTTGTTTGTTTGTTTGTTTGGGTTTTTAAGAGGTTTTTGCCTTAGGGCGTGTATACTCAACAAAGGTATACAGACAGTGAGAGGGAAAGTGAGAAATCACCACTTGGGGGAGTGACCACGCTGCAATCCTTTCTCCTCCATTCCCCTCCTGGGATCTTGGGCATGTGCCCAGCATGAGTTTCAAGCCACTGGGCCCAGAATGATTTCAAAGCCACTGGGTCCAGAACTCAGACTACAGTTGGCCATGTAGAAGTCCAGCAATGTAACCGCTACACCATCAGCTGGTCCCACAGGGACCCTGGTTAAAAGATTAGCTATGGTGGACCAAAGGCTATGGCCTCTGTGGTGGGCACTGTAGAGGGTGCAGAACAGCACAGGTGAGAACAGGAAACGCCGCCCACATCTTCAGCCCCTCCTGCCAACTAGAGGCTCACGGACAGGTCTCAGGTGAAGTGGAAACTGGGTGATAGGTACTAAGTGAACTGGGAGGAGCATGG